ATTTTCCTATAAAAATGTGATAGTAACGGAGCACGAGGTATTTTGCCTTGGCCACTGCGTTGGCAAGAGCAGGGACCCTAGCTCGAGCTAGCTAATAAACTTTCCTTTTGCTTTTGCATTATCGTGTCTGTGGTGACTTCCTCGCACCGACATTCCTTTCCAGGCTCAACAATACATCTTGTTTTCTGACGCTGATTACAATCCCTGCAATGTAATGGCTCTCCACCTACCTCTTCTATGTGGTTACCCCTTCCCTGTGTCCTTCTTGCCTGTGCCATCATGCCTGCCTAGCTCTCTGCCTGTACAAATGTTGCCTTCCAGTCTCCCTTTGCTGACTGTTCTAAGCAGTGCATCTCTCTGGTGTAGTTCAGCTAATAGGCCTTTTCATTGCTTGGCTGAGAGTTGAGCCACAGGAGTGAGTCCAGTTCCAGGCATGAAGGATGACTGCCTAGGGCCATAATCTCATGGGTTTTACCAGTCTCCAGAAGGCTGGCAGTTCAAACCCATCAGCCACTCCTTAGAAGGAAGATTGGGCAATCTATTTCCATAGTGATACTGCCTTGGAAACCCAAGGAGGGGGTTGCTATGAATCGGGACAACTGGATGGCAGTGAGTTGAGTTGTTGTTGATCTGACTAGTAATCCTCATATTTTTATGGTGTTGAATTTTGTTCTGCAATCTTCTCCCACTCTATCCAGGGTCTCTAATTTTGGTTCCTTTCTGAGTGGCATTGATAGCCAGGCACCATCTAGTTCTTCTGTCTCAGGGTGATGTCGGCCAAGGTTGCCGTGGTTCATTTGTCCCTTGGACTAATTGTTCCCATACATCTTTGATTTTCTTCATTTTTCTTTGCTCTGGATGAAGAGAGACCAGTAGTTGCATCTGTTATTGGACCAAACGTGGGTCCTTGCGCCATGCACAGTCAGGCCAAAACAGTTTACACACCAAGATTGAGAGCAGAGAAAATTATTTATTGCAAAGCAGCAGTGCAAGGAGTTAGGGGTAGTTAGTACCCAGATCTTAACTCCCTGAGATGCCATTGAACACAGTTTTTGTCGGTTTCAGGAGAGGGGGTTGTGCATATTCACAAAAGGTTGATGAGTCACTAGTTTCTTGTTATCAGCTGATAGGGGCTTGGGCAGAGGGGAGAGGGTCAGCAACTAACTTTTGTTCCCTTATGGCCAGAGTTCATTTACAAGTAATTTCTTAAACATTTCTATTGTCTGTGGCCAGAGTTAATTTACAAGTTATTTCTAAAATACTTTTAGCAAGTCTATCATCTGCAGGAAGGAAAGTTTTCCATTCAGTTCTTTAAGGAACTGAATACTCATCTGCCCAGTGGGAAAACAGTTGGGGGTAATCCAGTTTACTTATTCCCCTGGGGAGTCTTATCTAATTATCTGTCTTAAGGTCAGGGGGGAATCATAAGGTTTTCCCTGGCCAATTCTTTGAGAAGTGGACTGCCTCTTCCTTCTTCCTAGTCTGTCTCAGTCTATAAGCTGGGCTGTTACCTGTGCACCAGGTGCATCTCGCTGGGTTTTAAACACCAGAGGCTC